AAAATGACCAGAGCGCAATACTCTTAAAAGAGCAATACACTTCTTAAAAACAAAACAAAGAGCAATACACTTCTTGACAAAAAAGGGCTATAGTGGTGAAGGAAACTCAATAAGTTGTTTAGGGTCCGTTTATTTCATTCATTCATTTCCTCCTGCTTACCTCTGCACCTCCTGATCCTCCTTCTCACCAGAACATTCTTTCTCTTTTGTGCCATTTGCCAACTTCTACTGTGTATCCTCCAACACGTGTCTTAGACATCAGTGTCCGCTGCAAAATGTCAGCAGTGCGTTGACTCCTTTCTCTGTGCAACGCCCCATTCAGTCATCGCGTGTGTGTGTGGGGGGGGGGGTTCCCACACTCTTACTGCTCTTTCTGTCCTCACCACTTACTCTAGAACTTAGAGGAGAAGTGGTATGAAGTGTCCACTGAGTGAATGTCAATTAAATTGAATGAAAATGTTCATGGGTAGCAGACCAATTAAATAGATTATGTTACAGCCTCACTGTGGACTACCACATGAAGCCATTGAAAAATACTTTGGTCATGAAAATATATCCAGCAAACTAAACAAAAAGCAAGTTATCAAACCTAGAGGTAATACAACCTCATTTTTATAATGACGAAACATACATACACCATCCACATATATTTTGCATAGAAAAAAATATTCTGGGAGGCTGTTACCTAAGGTGGCTTTTTCCTAATGTTGGTCTTATGGAGATTTTATTTTCTTCTTTAATCTTTTCTGTATCTTACAAGTTTTCACTAGGCAGCTATTACTTTTCTCTATAGAAAAGCAGATACTCCCTAGAAGAAATCTTAAAAGTCTAGATGGAAGTAGAGCAAAAACACAACATGATGAATTCAGCGGTGGAGACATGAACTATGCACCAAACATCCCCAGGGAAGAAGGGACTTCGTCCTGCCTACCAAACCAGAAAGAGAAAAGAGTCATTTGTAGTCAGAAAAGAAGAAAAGTTTATTTTAGGTCAAGAGAACTTCACGTGGCAAGGCAAGGAAACAGAAGGGCTTATCTTGTGTGAGGAATAACAAATAATTTAACGTGGCGGGAAGGTACAGTTGGAGAGGGATAGATGCAGCAGGTGGGATGAAAGAGGTCGACGGAGGCCAATGTCATGATTTGCGGAGCCGGCTTCACTGGTGAGAAGAGTGTGAACAGCCAGGCTTTAGGCAGTAAGGCCTTCTGGGTCTCCTGACACAGACACGGGAAGTGTGAGCAGCAGGGCTTCCGAGGCTGATGGTGATGCATCTCTCCCAAGCCCAAATGCTGTGAGGGCACTCCTCAAAGATACTTAGGGAGAAGAGACTTGAAAGAACTTCCCTGGTGTTGCCAGTGTGAGGGCCTCCACAGTGCTAGGGAGGCTGTGTCTTGTTAGAGCTCTGCGTACATCCGGTTTTAATTGCAAAGGTTCAGGCCCCAGCCCTAATCATTTGGGAGGTTCCTCATTCATCCTTACTAAATCCAGTGGCAGTAATGTGAGGAAGAAAAATGAAATGAAATTTCAAGTATCCCAGTGTGGGATAAATAAGAGAATCTGCAGAGTTTTAAAGCACAGCAGGAAATTTTAGCAATTACAAGGGGAGGTTGCTAATGCATTTCATTGCTGTTGAGAAAAGAAAATATTTTTTTCTTTTTTACAAGGGATTCTTGCACATGTTTTGGGGGCCTTTCTATCTGGGACATTGGACATTTCCCGTGTTGGATACCCTGTTAATTTCAGTCAGTTACTCCTTCCTTTAAAGTCAATTGTTTCTAATGCCTAGGATTTTTCTAGTTGACAACCAATTAACTTCTTTCCTACCTGGTAACCAAATTTTACCCTAAAAACAAAATTTAAAAATTAGGAAAAGGGACAGCCAGGGAATGAAGTTCTAGAGTTATTTCAAATCAGCCTGAGCTGAATATGCACTCTTGGGGATTTAATCATTTCCACACTGAAGAGCCATTTGTAAGTTTGACAGGAAGAGTTTATTTAAATAGCTCTGCTTCATGCTCCCTTGGACGTCAAGATTTTAAGGGCCCTTCAGCATGAAAGTGGATATGGCATTGGGCATGACTCAATGGATAGTCAGTAAAGCACTAAGTGTTCTGAGAGCATTTGAAAAGAGTTGAAATTGTTGAGTGCAACCATGTCCAGAGTACCCATTAACTTTCAGATTGCAGTGTTAGGAAATCAAGAGAGTTTTTGCAGCAACTTAAAATCCCCTGATTATTTGTCTGGAATAGAGTTAGATTTAGGGTTGCCAGATAACATACAGAACATCCGGTTAAATTTGAAGTTCAAGTAAACAATGAACCAGCTGTCAGTATGCCCCCATATTGCACGGGACATACATGTACTAAAAATATTTGTTGTTTCTCTGAAATTCAAATTTAACTGAAGATCCTCTATTTTTATTTGCTAAATCTGGCAAACGTGGATTGCCTCCCTTTTTTGAAATTTGTGCACAAATTCATACAAAGTCTTATGGTTCACTTGTGAAAAAAATTCAAATTTCAGTTAACGAGTAGAGGCCCTTGGTAAAAATGAACTGGGTAAATATTTATTTGTTAAATTAAGATTAAAGCATCTACCATTATTATCCTAAACTATTAATTTCTATTAAAGTCTTGCTCTTTTTTCCTCTTAAATCTGGCGATAGCAACCATAGCATAGACTTTATATCTTTAAAATCAAGTAAATGAAATAAGGACAGTTTTACATTGAATGGTGCTCCCTTCCTTTCTAGATGAAATCTGCCATTGTTGAATTGTGTAACTTCAAGTTGGCTTTTATGGGCTAGTGATATAGCTGTTTTAGTGATATAGCTGTTTTTCCTGGATGTAACTCTTTGTTCAGTTTTTGAAGTGAATTGGCAACATGTTGATTTAACTACTCCAAGGACCTTCAGGAAAAAGCAATTCATGAAAGACAATAGTCATTCTTCATAAGGCTGGAAATGGAACGGAGGTGATTGGATTTAGGGAAAGCAGGTTTAATGTGCTTGTTAGAGTTAATTGAAATTTTGTTTTCTGAAAATTGGGTTGTCATGCAGTAAGTGGAAAATGGGATTCAGAAGTGGTGGTGGTGGGTAGGGGGTATGTTTGGGGGTTTTTTGTTTTTGTCTTTTTGGCTTTTGTTGCTGTTCTCACTGGAAAATGGCATTCTTTTACCTCTTAATAATGAATGTGCTGTTGAAACATTTTGTTAATGTTAAGCAGTTGTAACGTGCAGTTACTTTCTGTGTCCTTTAAAAGTATTTGCCATATACTTGTGTATCATTTCTTTAAAGTATCTGCATTATACACAAATAAAATAGAGGGTATAATAAATGAGGGAAACAATTTTAAACAAATAATCAAATGTATCCCTAAAAGGAAATTGAAAATATTTCTAATATATAGACACTAGTAATGATTTTTGTTTTAAGATGATTCTTGGTTACTAATGATGGAAATAAGAAAGGTATAAGAAAAAAAAAACGTATGGTTGACTCTTGAACAACCTGGGTTTGAGCTGTGAGGGTACACTAATAAGTGGATTTTTTTTTTTTTGTATGGTACCGTGAATGGATTTCCTTATGATTTCCTTAATAACATTTTCTCTTCTGTAGCTTACTTTATTGTAAGAACATAGTATACAATACATATATAAAATACGTGTCAATCGATTATTTATGTTATCTGTGAGGTCTTTGGTCAACAGTAGACGATTAGTAGTTGAGTTTTGGGGGAGTCAAAAGTTACACACTGATTTTCGACTGTGCAGCAGGTTGGCACCCCTAACTCCCCACATTCAAGGGTCAACTGTATTTTACTTTACTGGAAACATGGAATCATCGGAAGTCAGAGCTGAAAGGGATCTTCTCCTTCCAGGTTATCTAGTCCAACTCCTTTATTTAACAAATGAAGAACTAGAAACCTCAAGATGAAGTGACTTGTCCAAGGCCCCACAGCTAGCTAGTGGCAGAACCAATCTTAGACCCTTGAGTGCCCGGTGCCTAGATCTTTGTCCTGCCCACTCATGTCACAGGGTCACAGGAACAACCCAAGCCACTGCACACCTCTGGCAGGAAATCATGGACCTTGAGGCTTTGGTCACCCTCTGTCATCACTGCTGTGCTGCCCTTCAAGCAGCCCAGCCTTCTGGGGTGTGAGACAGGTTAGTAAGAGATGAAGACAGGTGCTGGTGTTGCGGAACTCCGCTGGAAACTTACAGTTGGAGCTCACGAGCCCTAGACATTGTCACATGGAGGCATCAGTCTTTCCCAGATGACGCCTTGGAATCCACCTTCTTCTCGAGCCCAACTGCAATAAAGACCATGGGAAGATAGGGGGAAGGAAGAAATTTAAAGATGAAACAAAAATCCTTACTTTGCCTTCCTTGTCTGCCCTCCATTCCGGATTATAAATCTCTGGCCCATTCTCTAAACCACAACACTCACAATGCTTTCAGAGACATATAATTTCTGTCTGCAATCTGGGAGGAGGTAGATGCTGACCAGTATAATAGGATCCCTTAGACCTGAGTTCTAGTCCAAGCCTCTCGAAAGTCCAGTGTGCAAATTTGTCTTGATTTTCTAATTGTAAAATAATGTATGCTAATGTGTTGTTAGGAAGATATTTTTATTTATTTTTTTAAAGATTTTATTTATTTATTTGAGAGAGAGAGAGAGAAGAGAGAGCACGAGCAGGGGGAGAGGGAGAAGCAGGCTCCCCACTGAGCAGAGAGCCTGACGTGGGGCTCCATCCCAGGCCCCGGGATCATGACCTGAGCCGAAGGCAGATGCTTAATGGACTGAGCCACCCAGGCGCCCCATATCTGTGCCTACCTTTAGAAGGAATGAAATGGGGAGATTAGAGGTTGTTGACGCCAGATGGATTTAGGGCCTATTGCTCTGAGGTGGATGAAAACTACACTGGGGAATCCACAGGAAAAAATTTTCAGGTTATGGTGGTGCAGGGTGAGTGACTGACCATGCTTGTATTGTTTTGCAGGTAGACTTGGGTCTTCTGCGCTTTGTCACTGCTGTTGGGACACAGGGAGCCATTTCAAAGGAAACCAAGAAGAAATATTACGTCAAGACTTATAGAATAGACATTAGTTCCAATGGGGAAGACTGGATCACCATAAAAGAAGGAAATAAACCTGTTGTAAGTGTGGCCGCCACCCACCCCCCAACCAATTAAGTCTTTGAAATGGATGATCAATTTTTACTTGTTGGGAGCTTTCTGTCTGGCCTGGTTTAGCTTTGGATTGATTTAAAATGAAAAGTGCAATTAGAGGTTTATATCTGACCAAGGGGGTCTCATGTTCCCAGATCCAGAAGCCAAGAGGAAATTATACAGATGTTTCCAAGAAAAGTCAATACCGGCCAAATTAAGTGTCAGACTCAAGAATCAGTTTAAACCTCCCATGGGGATAGGGACTGTGCATAGGATAAGCACTGTCCTCTTAGAACCTTAGGCATATTGTTTTGTTTGATTTCCCTGTGTTTCTTCATTCTCTTTCATAGATTCCTTCTTTCTTCCTCTTCGTAATGGGCTGGTTTTAGAAAACTCCTTTTCATCTACCCTCTGTGGCCCACAAACTAATTTACAAGTGTGTTTGGCTCCTTCTGTTAGAATGAAGGGAACGAAAGGCAGTTCACAGTGTTCCCTCAGATCACACAAACGACCTGACGCTACCTCCTCACAGCTCTTAACCAAAGAAGCCACACCAACTGGGCCCCGCCCCGGGCACCCTGCCCTAAGTCATTTGGAACTGAGATGTTCTTCTCAGTCTGCCTGTTTTTTTGAAGTTCCGCTTGCTCTGATTTACTAATCAAAAGATTTCTGAGAACACATATTCGCTGTTTCCCCCAAATTGAAAGCTTGCCCTGAAGCCAAGCAAAATGCATGGAATTGATAAGGATAGTAGCAAAGATCCAGGTAACTTGAAATTCCGAGTTTGGGAAGAGGCCAATTAACACGTCTTTGTCTCCTTTTGAGCATATGTGGCCCGGTTTTCTCCTCCTAACTAAGAAAAACCTCCTGAGTGTGAAGTGAAAGAACTGTTAATTCCCTTTGATTAGCTATGAAGCCCCCACGCTTACTGAGGGCAAACAAGATGAAAGTAGATATATAGACAGCTACTTTGTGTGAGGCAACTTCTATGGATAGCAAGTTCAAGGCCACTGCCTAGCCCTGGAGGACACGGAACCAATCCTCCATCTGGGAAAGAGAAACCCTCACAGCCAACACAACACTAAAGCTTGTGAAGCTTTAGCAAGTAAATTTTGACCCTAAGTTTCATGACTTATTCTTGAAGTATTTTTTGGAAGACATGCCTTAGTTTCAAACAAATAAACCAAAACGCTGATGCCAAGGACATACCAACAAACAAAAGAATCTAGAGAGAGTAAGGAGAACCGACCTCAGGCCTTCAGGCCATTTCTTTAAAACATGAGGGCTGCTTCTCCAACACGTCCTCGTCAGCTGTTGGCCATTGGTTGTCTGCATGGCCCAGAACTCACAGGTTCTGGGGGGGGGGTGTCTGGCAATGCACACAGCTAGGCCCACAATCTGGAGCATCCTGGGATGCAGAAGGGCTTCCAGAGCGGGAGGCAGACAGATTAAAGAAGGATTCAGCAAAGATATAGGTGTGTCATCTGTCTGAGCACATTCGTTGAAGCTAAATGCAATCCGAACATCCACCTGTAGTCTCGTTATTGTTGCCCACCCTCCTTCCCTTGTACATTGGGGCCTCTCCGACCATGGCCTCCACCCTCTTCCCTGCCTTCTTCAGGGAGAGTTGGCCGTACCTCATCAAGACCAGCCTTCAATCAACGACAACTCCAGCCGTCCTCCTTATGTTGAACGGAATGTATGCCCTTAACGTGGTTTTCAGCAAACGTAAAGTTCCCTCAGTGTGAGCCAGAGTTCACCCCCCAACCTGTGCTGGAGGATGCAGCCCTCTTAACTGACTGCCGGTCTCTCCCTGAAGTGGACTTGTTGACCCTTCAAGCATTACGGTTTGGGACTCTACTCCCTCTGGTAGCTACCCATTATTCTTTGTCACACAAAAATGCTCCCACACAGATTGTTTCCCAGAGAGATTTGCTGAAGTAGGACAGAAATCTAAAGGCCATCACAGGCTAGATAAATTATGATATTAAACCATCTCTGGAGAGGGATCAGGCTAACGGCCAACTTCGTAAAGCATTTGACCACCTTCTGTCGTGCAGGCCACTTAAGCTAAATGAAGCAAAAACATCGTCCCGACTTTTAGAAGTCTTCTCTTCCGGGGGAAGAACAAGCCCTGGGAAATTGTGCTCCTCCTCTGAGAACTTATCTGGAAAGGTGGGGAGGAATCTCCAGGCCTCTGAGGGGCCCAGCAACGCCCAAGTGACACAACCTAACTGGAATATGGCGCGGCTAGGCTGTGTGAGAAGCAAAGTGCTAGTTGCTTTTACTTTCACGTGGGCTCTCCCCAGTTCAGGGCTGAAGTAAAAACCAGAGAAGTGGAGGCCTTCAGCTCCTCCAGAAGTAGTCTAGTGCTAGAGTGTTCCAGCATGGCAAATAGTCTGCACTCCTCAGAGACCTTGCTAGAGAACAGGCTGTGGTGCCATGCCCAGGCAGCGTGGCCCCAACAGATCTTGTGGGAAACTCGTTCGTGACTGGCACTTACTACATTTGCAGTTACATGCCTCCTCTTTCTTAGAATAAAATGACTCATTTTTAAAACTAGAGGCAGGAGCCCTAGAAAAGCTGATTTCTAGTTGCATATCATTTCTAATTCGGTTTAGATTTTGACCACTAAAACATGGTTTTACCAATAACCCAAAAAAGATGGAAGTGATTAATTAATGTCAGGGATAAGATTTTCCATCAAGAAATGGAGTTAAAAGTGGGGAGACCGCTTGCCCCAGTGTTGTAGCTGGGAACATAGCCTAGAATTTTCAAAAAGCTAGACCCTACACTGAATTCCAAAAGTACTCCTTCTGGGGGTTCCTGGGAAAGTAAAGTAGTGTGAGTTTCCATGAAATGTCTATAGTATTCTGTAGGTCCTTATGATAAAGTTAATAACCTCCAACTTTTTTAGATGATAGCATTTAGCCTTTAACAAATGTTACCTTTGTAATAGGGTTTTTGGAGGCTCTAGGCTCTCAGAAAATTGAATAGACGATTAGTGCAACATTCTGTATTACACATGAATTTTCTGATTGCTATCATTTGAAAAAATAACATGACAAGTTTTTAATGCCGCCTCAACCTTGATGGACAATGCTGAAGTTGTAAATAATTTTATAGGCATTTGTGAAAACATATTTTTGTATTCATCTTAAATCGGGCCTTTTCTTTCTCTATATAGATCTTTCAGGGAAACACCAACCCCACAGATGTTGTGTTTGGAGTTTTCCCTAAACCACTAATAACTCGATTCGTCCGAATCAAACCTGTGACTTGGGAAACTGGCATTTCTATGCGGTTTGAAGTATATGGCTGCAAGATCACAGGTAAGCTCCAGCTCGAAGATGGCCTCATTTTGACTTACGTGAACTTTTAAATATAAGCAGTTATTTTATACAAATGTGGTCATTTTCATTTGGTGGCTAAGAGTATGCCCTTTGGATTTAGACAGATCTGACGTTAAGTCCTGTTTGTACCCCTCGCTAGCTTATCTGGGGAGAGAATTGACTATCTTCCAAAGCCTTACTTATCTCACCTAGGAAACATGACAGTGGACGCCATGCAGGGTTGTTGGGATAATGGATTAGCTCATGGGTCTAAAGCACTCAGCACAGTCTGGCATGTGGCAGGTGTTTGTTAAAGCAGCGCCTTCCCACTAGTCAGCAAACTCCATGAAGGCGAGCACCAAGCTTCCGTCCCCATTTCCTGGGTGCACGGCCCACTGACAGGTGCTCAGTAGAGTTGCAATTAAAAATTATTACATGACATGCTCTCCATCGCTTTATCTTTTTAATTTTGAAGGCTACAAGTGGCTCTGTCAGCCAAGATCAAGGAGCAGTTTAACTCCTTTACTCACTAACTCCCCTGACAACTCTGTGTCTCAGTATCTATCCATCCTTTGCGGAGTGCATATACTAATGTTAGAAATTGATCTGTCAATGTTTCTAATTTTTTGTTTGTTTCTTCTGACATGAATAGGACTTTAAAAGTTTCTGTTAAATTGCTGTAAGTAGAGGGATTCTACCCATTTGAGAGATGAAGAAGGTGCACTCTGGAGGCATTAAGTGACTAAAAGGGTAGGCCAGGCGGGGCAGAGCTGAAAATAAAAGAGCCATCACGACTGTCATTCTCGCTGTATTCCTGTGGCAATCAATGCAGCCATGACTTGTCCACTGACCTTGCTGTATGATCCTGCTGTATTCTGGAGTATTCTAATAGCAGTCACACCAGAATTCCTTTTCTTTTAAGTAAATAAATTGCAAAAGTTTCATTAAAAAAAAAAAGCAATCCAATATAACCTTCAAAGTAGGTTTAAAAGTTAAACAGAATCAGTAACTGATTCACCAAAAAGTCATTACAAGTGAATAACTTTTAAAAGTCTCTGAACTATCTTTAAACACTATGTTAGTATACATAGTTAGGGCATTTAATATCTTCTTCCACGAATGCCAACACTATTGCTTTTATTTTTATCCTCCTTAGTATAATTATGTCTACAGAAGGAAAACACTGATTTTTGAAGGTGGGGAAAAACACCCAGCTGGGCAGTTTTCAATGAAATTACAAGCCATTTGGAGAAAAGCACCTCGAGAAAAAACTAAGGAGAAAAAAACTATACTAGTTTTTAGGAGATTCCATTTTGGAAAGTAAAAACTAACATCGGATTTCTTACCAAAATTGTATTTATTTCCATCCCAGAGACAGACTTGTTTACTGTTTTAGGTTCAAAGACTCAGAAAGTTCAAGGCCTTGGAGGCAGGAGGAGTTGGGTGGAAAGAGGTTTGGAGAAACAAGAAACATTGAAAAGTTAGATATAACCTTGGCTTGATTTTTGATCAGCAGTTACATGAGGAAAAGTTCTAGGTAATTTTCAGAGCATTAGAAATTTGAGAAGCCACCCATAAATTCATAGAAACAAGGCCATTTGAGGTCAGGGTGGAAATTTCGGGCTCATTTCTAATTTTATGTCACTATACCAAAAAAAAAAAAGAAGAAGAAACTTCGTGATTCTAAGCATGTTGGTCTGAACTCAGACTCCTGAGGTTCTCCCTTCAGTTAAATAAGACATTCACTTAAACTTGAACTGGTCTTTTCCATTTTCACAAGGATTTCGCTGAGAGTTCATTCTAGGCATGTGAGTCTTCACATCTGAAGAAGGTGAATAATTTATTGGATTTTTAAAATGAAAATGTTAATGATTTAGTGGAACATGTTAAAGGATTAGTTGAATGACCTATTTATTTAAACATCGATGTCTACAACAGCATATTCTTATTTTCACATATATTTTATTTTATAATCATTTTAAGCAGCTATTTGTTTCCCTCAAAAGATACTGCTTTTAGGCTCATAGTGCTAATCTCTTTATCATGACCCCTGATATATTTTAGATACTCCTGTCTAGTACAGTAGCTACAGTCTCCAAATAATTGACCAAAGCAGGTTTTTGGGGAAGGCAGTATGTTATAATGATAGTCACGTGGACAGAAAGTGTGCAGACATTTACCCAGGCCTCACTCTGGACTGTCTGTTGGGTGAATGTGTGACCATGGGGAAGACATTTTGTCTCTCTGACCTCCGTTTCCTGGTCAATAAGATTGACCTTAATTCAGCTGTAATGAAGATTAAGTTGAAAGAATATAACACACTTGGCTTAGAGTAAATGCTCCCTAAACGGTACCCAGTAAATGACAGAGGTCATGGTGCTCGATGAACGGGGCCTAGAACAAGTCCCAGCAAGCAGAGCCTCTGAGGAGACGATGATATCAGTGTTTTCTTCTTGGTTGCCAGAAGCAGATAGTTTTCACCTTCAGAGGCCACGGTCCCCTCAGAGTGGAGACCAATGCAAGAGAAACAAGGCTTCAGTATCCCTGCTGGACCGGGAGACCCGTGGAAGCAGGGGCCATGTTTGCCTTATCTTCTATTGTGTCCTGTAATGCCTGGACCGTAACACGTGATCAACACACTTATTTTTGAATGAATGGATGGATCGATGGTTGACTTGCATTTCTATCCACAAACAAATGACTGAATTTCAAAATATCACCCTCTCCTCTTGGGTTGGCAAGTCCTAACTCAAACTGGATTAAAACCAACAAAAACTATTGAATTAAAAGTTACCCCATGAATACATCACTTGACTCCAAAGTCTCCAGAGCCCTCAAGTTGTCACCTAATTTTTGTATTCAGAAATTATTTTTTAAAAAATACAATAATTCTAGAAAATCCAGAGTATACAGTGGGTGTCACCATAAAAAGATATAAAGAAAATAAGATTGGGGCAAACCATTCTGCTTTATAGATGATTGACAAAGGAGCATTTTCATTATTTTGACAAAGCAGGCTTCCTCGTTTTGGCAGATATGGATATTGAGGAAAATAACCTTGGAGAGTTACTGCTTGATGTATGAGAACGTACTGCAAACTCTGTTAACTTGTGTTTGTTAACCGGAAGTCTCTTAACTGGCGTTTCTGCACACATCATTGTGTTCCTATGTTGGCCAAAGTTTGCAAGGATGACCTCAGGCACCACAACACCCTGAGTCATCATGGGAAGATTACATTATGCTCATTCAGTTTCACCCATCAAATGCAGCTATCACCTTCTCATTCTTGGAAACTGAGTATTTGGTTTACCAGTATATCTCAGTTTTAAAACTGAGTACAGAGATTTTGCTATAAAACAATATCAATGAAAAGAACTACCTTAATTCCCCACCACAGAACTCATCTCTCCCTTCCATCTAGGATTGCTTTTAAGCTATCCAAACAGGGTTGCCAAGTAAAATACAGAATGTCCAGTTAAATTTGATTCAGATAAGTGACAAATCATTTCTTAGTACAAGCATATCCCATGCAGTATTTGGGACATACTTATACTAAAAAATGATTCATTATTTTAAGTTCTAATTTAGTGTGCCATCCTGCTTCTTGTTTGTTGTTTTTCTTGGATTGTTTGTTTTCTAAATTTGGCAACACTACTTCCAAAGGCTTTGACAGGTAGCCACGCACAGCTGAGCCAGCCTGCTATGGAAGAATAGAAGTAGATCCTAGTCTCTCATTCAGACTTTGAAATGTTAATGTAATTTTTCTCCTAATCATTGCTAAAAGTGAGTCACATAATTTTTAGTCAAAGGCAAATCAAGGTGCCTCTTCATTGTTCTTTTTGGATGAGGCAGGCTTATAAGAAGGAAGGGGTATCTAACTGTATGTGGGCTGAATGGGGGCAGGGCATCACATGGTCTGTGAATATGTAAACTGTGCCCTAGCCAAGTCTGCATTAGAGAAAGGACGTTAATCTGGTAAAGGTTGTGCTCTCCTTACAATATTCAGGTTATTGTGCATTTCTCCAGATGGTAACATCTGGTCCTTATTACCAGCTAAACATTTTCTTTATAAAGGCTGATTTTGAATCAGTCAGGTGTGACCACAGTGACCAAAAATGTGACTTCTATTTTTAGCACTATAGTTTCATAGACCCTCAGTAAAATGCTTTTTATAATTTTTTTTTAATCCCCATTGAGTTTATCCTTGGTTTCCAGATCCCAGCCTGGAGCAAATACTGTGACTGAATTGCAGGAAGGGGCGCTTGACAGAAACTGGCCGCTGCCTTTATTGTGTTAATAAGCTGATTCATTCAACAAATATTTGTTAAGCAAATACCATAGAGAAAGCAAGGCTCAAGGAGTCATAGAAAATTTTTAGATATGACTTGGTTCATGTCCCCAAAGAACTTAAAATCTGGTGAGGCAAGTAACAGCAATCCAAGGAACAGAATATGGTCATCAGTATAGGAGAAATGCAGATCAAGTGCTAATAAAGAGTCTTAGAAAAGGAAAACCACACCTAGTTGGAAAGATGGGGAAAACTGTAGCATTTGAAAACCACTCAAGATTTCTAGTGGTTTAGACAGTGGGAAGGGCAAGATAATGGGGACATTCTAGTGGAGGGAACAAAATGAGAGAAAGCCTCCCTCCATTCCACTACTGTAAGGAAGTGCTTTATTCCATTTGCCTCTAGCAAAAGCGGTAAATGAGGAGAGGCTTTGCAAAGCCATGATCTGGAAGGCCTGGCAGGCTTGGTTGACAGGACATGCATAATTCCTAGATGAGCTGGGACTGAATGCTTGGATAAAGAAATGACATGACCTGAAATGTACAACTCATCTGGAAAGTGTCTGAGTAATTCATTCTTAAGGGCAGCTGATAACATGGACACAGTTTAATTGCATTAAATATGTGCTTCTCACTTAGGATGGTTATATTTTTAAGCTAAATTTTTATTATATTATGCAGAATTGAGTTATTTCAAAGAAAAAATAGGTTATCGTTCCTATGCATGTCCTTGATTGAGGTGTACAGTTTTGAAAGGAGAATGATTGAACGGTTTGTTATTAAGTCGCCAATAAATCAATGATTGATACTCTCCTTATGCTCAGAAGCTTCTTGGGCTGCTGTAGAAAATGTAGAAAGATCTGATGCTGTTCCTTGCCTTTGAGGAATTTATAATCTAGCTGTGGATACAAGATGACCAGTCTTAAAAACAAGGAGAGAACAGTTTAATGCGAAACTCTGAGCTACTTCTCGCACGGGCAATCATATTTCTGAGAAGGGAGACTTCAGAATAAAGGCTAGAGTAGTTTGAGAAGTTTTCATGAAGAGTCTGAGGCCGGGTTCTAATGTCCTAGCAGACCTTATTTCTGTCCACAAGAGGATAAGGAGAAGCAGGAACATTTTGAGCAAAGGCAATGGTGAGGATTGGAGAAGAAAATGGATTAGCTGGAATATGCTGTCAGTAAGAGGAAATAAAGTTAGATAAACAATGTGAAACCAAAATGAAGGTCTCAAAAGCTGGATAGAGACTTTTTATATGGTCCTATAAATAATGGAGAGCCATGGAAATTTTCTAAAGCTCTGTCTTTTATTATTGTGGTAAATATGCATTACATAAAATTTACCATTTTAACCATTTTAAGTGTACAATTGAGTTGTGTTGAGTACAATCATATTACTGTGCAACCATCACCACCATCCATTGCCAGAGCTTTTCATTATCCAAACTAAAACCCTGTACCCGTTAAATTCCACCCCCATTCTTGCCTCCTACCAGCTCCTGGCAAACACCACTCTACTTCCTCTCTTTATGTATCTGACTATTCTAGGCACCTGATATCAGTGGACTCATACAGTATTTGTCCTTTTGAGTCTGGCTTATTTTACTTAGCGATGGAAGATTTGGGGACATAAGAATGATACTGCAGAAAAATTTTTAGGAAAAATGAATTGGCAGTTATGGGTGGTGTAGATTCACAACTGGTGTCTAACAGGCCATTGAGCACCCTGGCCAGGAGGGCGCAGACCAGGATGATGCCCAAGGAAAGGGGGACCACAAGGCAGGGCCAACAGATTTCTTCTTCTTCTTCTTCTTCTTTTTTTTTTTTTTTTGGTTAACAAAAACATGACAGATTTTAGTAGCAGAACAGGAAAGCAAAAATGTAAAATAGGGATAGACAAGATGACTAGGCAGGAACTAGCTGGTTGGTGGTTCCACTGGTTAAAACACAGAGTTGATAAAGGGATTCAGTGTCAAGGGAAAAGGACCATTGGGTTTTGGACACGGTACATTTGAGATGACAATGGATATTTGTGTGGAAAGTTCCTAATGCTGTTAGAATGAGGGGTGGGCAGGACAGCATCCTGTTGCTGAAATTACTGATTTCACATCTCGTGCCCATCATAAACTGAACCTCTGTTGTCCAGGGCCTGTACTGGATCTGGGAATAAGTTCTGGATACCAAAGGGATAGAAACATCAATACTTTGACATTAAATCTGGAAGAACTCAGAAAGGCAGAAATGTGTGCCCTTACAGAAGATTTTCTCTATTGGAACATGGTCCTGGGAGGGGGGTTCTGCCAGTGTAGGAGAAAGGTTTGAGGGAGGGAAGGCCCTGGTTTAATGTCAAATGACCCAGAACGTGTGTATGAACGGGAACAGACAACGTGCCTATTCCATCTGTGGCATTCTCTTTCTAAGCATGGAGACTTGTAGAAAACGATCTTACGCCGTCTGTTTCATTCCACCCTCTAGATTATCCTTGCTCTGGTATGTTGGGGATGGTGTCTGGACTTATCTCTGACTCCCAGATAACAGCATCAAACCAAGGGGAGAGAAACTGGATGCCTGAAAATATTCGCCTGGTAACCAGTCGCTCCGGCTGGGCACTGCCGCCCGCGCCCCACCCATACATAAACGAGTGGCTCCAGGTGGACCTGGGGGAAGAGAAGATTGTGAGGGGCATCATCATTCAGGGGGGGAAGCACCGGGAGAACAAAGTGTTCATGAGGAAATTCAAGATCGGATACAGCAACAATGGCTCAGACTGGAAAATGATCATGGATGACAGCAAGCGCAAGGCTAAGGTGAGGTCCAGGGACGGGGGCGGCTGCAGGGCAGGGAGTCCCTTCCCGCGTCGTTGCCTTAGATCAAGGACCTCCTGCATGTTCCTGAAGAAGTACGACTTTGTATTTCTTTTAAGCCGTGACATCAGTGGAGGTGTTCGATGGTGTCCATAAGACCTCCATTCTAGGGAAGCCAGGAATGAGGTGCTAAACATGGTCTCTGAGAGCATTGCTGCTCACTTTTGCTTCCTTAGGGAACAGCAGAAAGCTCAACACTCAGGAGGCAGGGCGGCCCAGAGGCTGGGGGTCTGGGGGCTGACAGGGCCAGTAGAAACTCAGAATCTCTCTGCAGATTCTATTCTCTTAGCACCCCACAAATCCCTTTCCCCTTCTCTTACCCTTCCCTCATTTAAATGTTTTTTTTTTTTTTTGGTTTTTTTTTTTTACCTTTTAATTGTGGTGAAATACACATAACATAAAATTTATCATCTTAACCTTTTCAGGTATACAGGTCAATTGTGTTAAGTACATTCATACTGTTGTGCAACCGATCTCCAAAACTTCGTCATCTTGCAAAATTGAAACTCTAGACCCACCAAGCAATAACTCCCATCCCCTGACCCTCAGCTCCTGGCAACCACCATTTCACTTTCTGTCTCTATGAATCTGACTTCTCTAGGAGCCTCACATAAGTGGGATCATACAATATTTGAACTTTCGTGATTGTCTTATTTTACTTAGCACAACGTCCTCAAGTTGTAGCATGTGGCAGGATTCCATTTTTTTTAAGCTGAATGATACTCTCTTGTACGCATGTACCACACTTCGTGTATCCATTCTTCCACCGATGGACCCTATCATTGATTCTGCCTTTTGGCTTTTGTGAACCGTGCTTCCATATGTTTTTTATACATTGGAACCTTTTAAAATACAGTTGGTTCTTGAGGTGAAAAGGGAGATATTCCAACATTCCCCACAACATGTGGTATCATTTTTTTCAACCAAACAGATCTTCTTTAGTGATTACGTTTTAGTTAGACTGATGATCAAACTTATTTGCATTCCCTGAGCACACAACACCAACCAGGAGAGGACACCCAAGAGTATGCTGGGTGGCCTGATAGCTGGTTTAAGGATGAAGTAAGTAACAACCCACAGACCATCCGTTCTGTCTGCACTGTGGGAATGGTATTCAGCCCATGGTACTTCTCACACCCAACACAACTGGTTTCCCATCCCTGCTTTGTCCGGGACCTACTCCTTTTGTGAAAAGATCTTAGCCCGTTGGCGGGAACATTACCCTTGCTCCCCCTCTAAGCGAGTGTGGGAATGTGGCTTGATATAAGTGACTCAGGCCAAGGGCATTGCAGGCAGGAAACAGAAGCCTGTGGGGACCGCCAGCTCCACGTCTGTCTCTGCAAAGCCCGCCTGTCCCCCACGGGCTGTGGTCAGCTCCAGTGCAGCGGGCCACTGAGAGCCGGGGCGCTGTCAGAAATGTAAGAAATTCTCTCCCATCTCACCCCTGCTTCACTTGTGGTTTCCAAAACATTTCCAGTGTTTTTTTTTTTTAATCTACGTGCAGCTACTCTCTTTCTTGTGTTCATTTCATTTCCCCCTTTTGTGTCTGCAAAAGAAAAAGTAAAATAAACATCAGACACTGGAGTTCCCCTAAGAGCCGATCTTTCCTGAGGAGCTGTGAGCCTTCTGACTTTATCACTAAGCGTGACTATGCCACCCATCAGCAGCGTCCAGAAGCTGATGCTCTTGTGACACGTATGTCTTATCCAAAGCATACAGTAGGCTTCATTGCGTCTTCAATCAAGTCTAAAGCTAAAGCTATCACTCTGTTGTAGTACATTGCCTTTGGAAGTCCCCCGGAAGCCAGCACACAGTTTTCAGTTTCAACAACAACAATAAAAAACTCCATTCATGAGTATGTGAGGTTTTTCTCCTAAAACATTATTTTATCCATCATTATCGTCTTCCTAGGATATTTAAAACCACGAAAACGTCTAAATTATTTACATAGAGCCTAATCTGTGATTCCTAACATGTCCTTCTCCTGAAATAAAATCTTTAAGATGCAAAAGGACACGGGTAAAACCTTCAGTTTAGGAGCAGTACATATTACTGAATTGTATAACGACATTTAACACATAACTATATTTAAACTTACAAATGAAGGTTACCTGCTTAGAATGCCAAGTACCTTTTATGTGATACTAGAATGAGTACTGGGTTTTAATAAATAAAACAGCACCTTTGATGGATTGAAAATCCTCTATACCTGCTCCTCACTTCCTACCCTCAAGTAGCACGTGATGGACAAGGTATATCAGAGTCTCTGAATTAACTGGACTTCTCAGGAGCAGATAGGAGATCTAAAGCCTCAAAGCCCTCTTCTTCTAAACATAATTAGTAAAAGGACACGAAGATATTTCATAAACAGCGTTATGTTAACGAAGTTAGCCCAGTTCCATATGGCTGTTCACGGCTAGTATTCTTCCCAGCTCATCCCCAACAGCTTTTATGTTTTTACATTGTGCTAATTCTTTACTCAAGTTAAAATGAGAAGAAGAGCCCGGATTCCATAACCTTAAGTGCTTTTCTCCTATGATTGTTGGAGCTGTGTTAACATCAAGAGAACACGCATGTGTAGCAGTGTTGTTTTCATCATAATTATACCTCGCTGACGACACTTAATTGGGCCTAACAATAACGTATGTCAGTTTCTCAATGACTAGAAGCAACTGTGCTCTATCAAGAGGGCAGAACCCCAATCGTGAGTTAACTCTTGAAAATAATACAAGGACGCTTTAAGGGGGAGAACTGGATCTATGTTAACTATGTCCTTTTAGATTCCTGGAGGCTTTTCTGAATTGGAAAAGGCTGATTAATTTCCTTCTAGAACACAGAGAACCTCTGGTTATGTCACAGCCGACCCAATCTGTCTATCTTCTCTTACATGTGTGCCCCTTTTAGCCCTGATATTTCTACCACTGAATGATCACATCTTTTGCTGGTTTAGGAGTTCTTGACCCAGCAATTGGGTACAGTCCCCGCTCCTGACTGACATAGCCTGGGGCTGGCCATCCACTCAATCTGATCGATCAGATTTGGTAGCCCCAACTGCAATACATGTAAAGAAACATTAAGGAAACTAAATATGTAGCCTTGGTTATAGACCTCAATTTCCTGAATTTAATGAGATTAGACTAGATCATTTCTAAGGGTAGATATCACAGCAGGGTGGTGAAGGGCCCCAGTTAAGACTGCCAAGGTTTGAACCCTGGCTCGGACACTTACAGTGTCCATGGGCACATTACTTGACCTCTCTGTGCCTCATCTGTAAGCTGAGGCTAGTGATGGAACCTACCTCATGGAGTTGTTTTGAGGATTAAATGAATTCATATATTTTCAGCACTTAGAACAATGCCTCGCACCCATAAATATCGTGCAATGTTTGATGTATAATAAGACACTCCCAATGATAAGGCTATTTGAGTCTTCTAATCCCCCTTCCCCACCTCCCATCCTGGACAGGATTAAGAATGATGCTGAGAGGGGCGCCTGGGTGGCTCAGTCGTTAAGCGTCTGCCTTCGGCTCAGGTCATGATCCTGGGGTCCTGAGATCGAGCCCCACATCGGGCTCCCTGCTCTGCGGGGAAGCCTGCTTCTCCCTCTCCCACTCCCCCTGCTTGTGTTCCCTCTCTCTCTGTGTCTCTCTCTGTCAAATAAATAAAATCTTAAAAAAAAAAAAGAAGAATGATGCTGAGAGAAGAGGATATAAGAAGCCTTATCTATTTCTTGCAAAAGTTATTATTCCACTTTCTTATGATTCCACTCAAGGATTTTGACCTTCCTGTCAGTGTAAAAAGTCGCCGCCCTGGCAATGGGTGGCTTGGCTCCGGAAGAAGGTCACAGTGTCTTCAAGTTAGGAATGTACTTCAAAAAGAGGAGCCCATTCACACTGCAGTTCGGGACCACCTGCGTCAGGACCTCCTTCAATAGTCAGGACCCTTGTTACCTTCCTGAGATGAGAAGGTCTTTTATCTACAAATGCCTCCCACGGGTGGTACCGCTTCAGTAAATAGCAATTTCAGTGGGTTTGGATAACCCCAGTTCCTGACTAAATAGCACTTGCATGACATTAAATTTAATATATCCAACTTCAGGAGTTTAATCTCTCCACCTTCTACGTTCTTAGCAAAACTAGGACCCGCTCCTTTAAGAGAATGTAACCGGCATCCTTGTTGGAAATGTGGTGTCTATTATAGCTCTGAAAAATGGCAGCTTCTCTTCCTGAGTTATCTTCCTCCTCCTCAAGGAAGGGTCACTTCTCCCAGACACATCAGCATATCATTGAAAACATGTCTCATTAAATCTTCAGCTTCTGTGATAGCCTCAGTGTGTGCGCCGAAGTTTCTGAGAAATGACATCTGTCACTTCTTGGAAAAGCCTTAATTGTTTTGTTTTGTTTTGTTTTGTTTTTCGCTTGCTCATTTATGACAAAGGTGTCAGCCATTTTATGAAGTGGTGGGATGGGGTCTATTTCTCTGCCCTATTAAGAGTCCTAAAGGAGGGACTCTTCTGCTGAAAGTGAGGTCTTATTGATAACGGCGTTTCTCATACTTCACAGTCTTTTGAAGGCAACAACAACTACGATACACCTGAGCTACGGACTTTTTCACCTCTTTCCACACGATTCATCAGGATCTACCCTGAGAGAGCCACTCACGGAGGACTAGGGCTGAGGATGGAGCTGCTGGGCTGTGAAGTGGAAGGTAATTACAATTTCCAGAGTCCCATCTCGTTTCCCACTTTTTAAATCTCTGTCTTCATGCATTTATGCCCCTGATGGGGCTGCTGCAAATGGCCAGCTTTTTCCCCTGGGTGACCCTGCCTCTGGGTCTGCCAGTCCGTGAGGCGCAACATTCCAGTCCACTCCATGCAACAGTACCTCGTACTGGTTGTTGGCAGAACTCTCTGCAGATTCTGTGGGTTGCCTCCTTTGACTTTTTAAAAAATAATTTATTGAGGTGAGATTCGCATAATACAAAATTGATCATTTCTTAGTGAACAATTCAGTGGCATTTAGCACATTCACAATTATTTATGCAACCACCACCTCTGTCTAGTTCCAAAACATTCCCATCACTCTAAAGTAAACCCCCCCACCCATTAAGCAGTTTGCCCTTGACCCCTGGAAACCACCAGTTCCTTTGACTTTTTTTTTTT